GCGCAGGACAAATAGTGTATGCTGCTTGGTTCTTTAGCACAACGTAATTTAAAAAGAAGAATTGCATATTCTTCTGTATCACATATGGGATTTGTATTAATTGGAGCTGGTTCATTATCTGATTTGGGATTAAGTGGTGCTATGTTACAAATGATCTCTCACGGATTAATAGGAGCAGCACTATTTTTCTTAGCAGGTACTAGTTATGATAGAAGTCGTAGTTTATTATTAAATGAATTAGGTGGGTGGGCTTCTCCAATGCCAAAAACATTTTTTATGTTCACAACATTCGCAATGGCTTCCTTAGCTTTACCAGGAATGAGTGGATTTGTAGCAGAATTAATGGTATTTTTGGGAGTAGTAACAAGTTCTGCATATTCTCCTTTGTTTAGAATTGTAATTACTTTAGTTGAAGCGATTGGTATTATTTTAACACCAATCTACTTATTATCAATGATACGTCAAATATTTTATGGATATAAATATAGCGTTAGTCAATCTTCTGGAACCAGTATAAGTTTGGATGCTAGTCCAAGAGAAATATTTATCATTACATCGCTTTTGTTACCCGTTTTAGGTATAGGCTTCTATCCTGACTTAGCACTTCCGTTATGGAGTGAAAAAGTAAAAACAATTGTAACACCTATTACAATGAATCGACCATCATATAATAATATATATTATACCAATTAATAAGAAAATATGTTCTATTCATAGAATTCAATATATTCACTTTCTATAAGAAAAGGTGGTGAAATTTTCTTATACTTGGATTTTTTTAGAATATCATAATTTATCTTTTTTTCTTACAAAAAAAAGCTTTTTTGTTGAAAAAATTGTTTGATTTTCACAGTACTTTGCTCTTTGTAACTTAATCTTTTAAGAAAACTAGTATAAAATACAAAAAAAATACATTGTTCTGTGAATACTAATATCTTAGCAAATTATTTAATTTCTCAATAAGAAATTTTACTCTAACTTGGGAAAATTAACAAAAAGGTTCTTTGCCAATATTGAAAAGATTATAAAAAAAACTATATTTCTTAATGAGACTGTAATCTTTTCAATATTGGAATATTTACCAAATATCTTTACTGTTGATTTTTTGAGATTTTTTTTGTACATAATAAGATTGTAATATCTTAACATAGAACTATTCTGAAGATAATTTCTTTGCTAAATAAGAAAAGAACTAACTTCCTCTAAGAGAATTTTTATTGAATATATACTAACATAGTTTATAAAATTTTTTTTTATAATATTTCATAGAATCCAATCAAAATTTTATAAACTATGTTTAGAGGTTACATTCTTATTACAGAAAAAAGAATGTATCAATGTAAGATATTTTTATTCTAAAAAAAGTTATTTAACAAATCAAACATTGAAAGATTTTTGGAAAAATTATTAATTTTTCTTATTTACAAAAGAAGGAATTCTGGATGGCATGTGTTGTATGCTTTTAATTTATTTCAATGTTTCATTATTCAAACAAATAGCATCAACTACAAATCGCATTAAAGTTTGACGATGTGCGCGTTTTTTAGATGTATGTTTTTTAGGACGCATATTATAAACTATAATTTTATTTCCACGACGATGATGATAGATACGTCCTTTTACTGTAGCATTTTCTAACCAAGGTTTTCCTATAAATGTATCATCTTGATTACGAATCATTAAAATTCGAGAAAATATGATTTTTCTTTCTTTTGACAACTTTTCAATTGGTATTTGAAGACGTATATCATAAAAACGACCTGGCTCTACACGCAGTTGTTCTCCTCCTGCTTCAAGAATTGCATATGTATTCATAGAATTATTTCCAATAAAAAAAAAGACATAAAATATCAAAATTAATTTATGTGACATATAATAATATATATCACTATTTTATGTCAATAGTTTACTAATGATATTATCTTAATTAGATTAAATGTCTTTATAAGATATTATAATCAAAAAGAATCTTTTCTAGAAAAGATTCGAATAAGTATTCGAAAAAAATATTTCTATATGAAAGATAGAAGAAATATATAGTATAAAAAGTTTTAATAGGTAGAAAGATAGAGAAATTTTTCCTATATAGACTAAATACAAAAATTGATATAAAACGATTGATTAAATAAGTTCTTAACTAGTATAGTTATAATGCACAATTTTTCTTTTGTGCATTCTTAACAATCTATGGAAAATTGAGGCTTGGGATGTAAACTATTTGAAATATGCGACTATGCAACTAACATATCAATATGCTTGGCTCGTGCCAATACTTCCTTCTTTGGCTGCTCTAATCATTGGAATTGGCTTACTTTCATTTCGTCGTGCCACTCGTACCCTTAGATGGCCCTCTGCTATTGTAAGCATAGGTATGCTAGGTATCGCAATGATGTTATCCTTTGGCATGTTTTGGGAACAAGTTATACAACATTCTGCTCATATACAACTTTGGTCATGGATTCAAACAAAAACATTCTCAGTAGATATTGGATATATTGTTGATCCACTTAGTTCTATTATGTTAGTTCTTGTAACTACTGTAGGTATTGCAGTAATGATTTATACTGATGGTTATATGTTACATGACAAAGGATATGTAAGATTTTTTGCATACCTTAGTTTATTTACAGCTTCAATGTTAGGCTTAGTATTAAGTCCAAATTTAGTACAAGTCTATGCTTTTTGGGAATTAGTAGGTATGTGTTCCTATTTACTTGTAGGATTTTGGTTTACTCGTCCTAGTGCTGCTTCAGCCTGCCAAAAAGCGTTTATTACAAATAGAATAGGAGACTTTGGATTATTATTAGGCATCTTAGGATTTTATTGGCTTACCGGTAGCTTCGATTTTGACACAGTAGCAAATAGATTTCATCAACTTTTAATTGATGGTACTATTAATATGAATTTCGCTATAGTATGTGCTATTTTGTTATTTTTAGGACCAATTGCAAAATCTGCTCAGTTCCCATTGCATGTATGGTTGCCTGACGCGATGGAAGGTCCCACTCCAATATCAGCATTAATTCACGCAGCAACTATGGTTGCTGCAGGGATCTTTTTAGTAGCTAGATTATTGCCTTTATTCCAAGATTTACCAATCGTAATGGATGTTATTGCTATTACAGGTGTAACTACTGCATTACTTGGAGCTACTTTAGCTCTTGCGCAAAGAGATTTAAAAAGAGGATTGGCATATTCCACTATGTCACAATTGGGATATATGATGCTTGCTTTAGGTATTGGGTCTTATCAAGCCGGTTTATTTCATTTAATTACTCATGCATATTCTAAAGCTCTTTTGTTTTTAGGTTCCGGTTCTGTTATTCATGGTATGGAGGGTGTTGTCGGATATAATCCTAATAAAAGCCAAGACATGGGATATATGGGAGGCGTTAGGAAATATATGCCAATAACTGGCACTACTTTTCTAATAGGGACCTTATCCTTATGTGGTATTCCGCCTTTTGCTTGTTTTTGGTCTAAGGATGAAATTCTTGCTGAAAGTTGGGAAAAAATGCCCATATTAGGATGGATAGCTTGGATAACTGCGGGACTGACTGCATTTTATATGTTTAGAATGTACTTTTTAACTTTTGAAGGGGATTTTAGGGGAGGTATTTATGATGATTATAAAAAAAAAAAATTTCATGATGGTTATAAAAAGAATATAACTCTTGAGAATCATAACGGTTTATATCCTCATGAATCTACTATAAATATGGTAGCTCCCTTAGTTGCTTTATGTATTCCTACTATTTTTATAGGTTTACTAGGTGCTCCTTTTCCTTCAGGTACATCTGGATCCGAAGTTTTTGCACAGTGGCTGAATACAACACATATTCCATTACATGAAAGAACTTGGATAGAATTTGCATTAGAATCACTTCCATCAGTAGGTATCGCAGTGACTGGTGCTTGTGTAGCATGGTTTCTATATGGACCCAATGCTTCACAAAGGAGAAATTTTATAGATTCTCTTGATCCTGTGAAAGAAGGAAGTTTAGGTACTCTACTTAATAGTATTTATAATTGGTCATTACGTCGTGGTTATATCGATGAAATATATGAAAAAATTTTTGTCTCAGGAACACGAGGTTTTTCACGTTTAACTTTTCTATTAGATCAGTGGATTATTGATGGAATTGTTAATAATACTGGTCTGGTCTCTTTATTTGGAGGAGAAAGTTCAAAATATATAGAAGGAGGTCGTATTACAAGTTATGTATTTATTTTAACTTTAGCAACATTATCTTTCTTTTCTATTTTTTTCTTTTTCAATTAAACCAGAAAGAAATTATGTAACTAGATATTTGTGAACACATTATCTAGTTACATAACAAGTATTTTGATAAATATATTGAGTCATGAGCTTTTAGACAGTCAAAATGATTAATTTTTTATGAAAATTAATCATTTTGACATGAATTGAATATGATGAGAAAACGTACCATCCTCAAAAACAAAATTTCAAAATGATGACTTATCAATGATATGTTCAATTTTATATTAATAACATAATCAAAGAAAGGATAGTTGAATTTCTAATGAGAAAAAACATTGATAAGTCACTCTACCATATATGTATTTTATAATTTTTAATGATAAAAAATCTATTGAGACAAAAATTTTATTGACATTATCACTATACTCATCATATACTGAATGAATTTTTTGAGTACTAATGAATCTTGTTTCTAAGAAAAAGATATTCACATAAAAAAATTAGGGAAACTGGTTGTTTGTAGTATATAGAAAATATAAAAACTTGTAATCCTTGGTTCCAAGTTTATTAAAACGGAACATATACTACTATATATAGTTATTATTTTCATCATATATAGTAGTTCTAATAACTACCTATCAACATTCGGTAATCGTATTGACTATGATTCAAAAAATTAATCCGTTAAACTGATACAATAAAATATTTTTTACAAAATTCATAATATTCGATTGAATTCTAAGAATCAAAGAGAAAGATTTGTTTATCATGTTCATACAATCTTATATTCATATGATAAAATCTTTGACACTTTTCTATCTACATATTTTAATAAATAATTTAAAAATAATGTATTTCTTAAAAAGAAAAAATACAAAAAGATTCAATATGTCATTATAGAATTTACCGGAAATGCTATAATGACATATTGAATAATGCGTTTATGGTATAGATTAATGTACAATACTTTTAAAACATAAGCACTTTTATTTTAAAAGTCATAAAGAAATATATATAATATAAAACCTCTTTATTATGTGTTTTTTCTAAAAGTTTAGAAAAAACACATAATAAATTAGAGAATTACTGAATAGAAATCTATTATTATCTTGTCGTTTTTAGTTTAGTATACATATAAATATGTATGTACTATACTAAAGATAATAATGAAGTGAAATTTTTTTATAAAAAAGGTTTTGTTAAATACTAACTCATAAAAAAAAACAAGTCAGTATAACATAATTATTATCTACTAATCATATTAAGAAACATATAGAAAAAAGGAATATAGAAAAAAACAAAAATATGTAACAAATAGGCTTAATGTATTAATTGTAAAAAGAATAACAAGATTATAAATTTTGACAACTCAAAAACAAAGAAAAAAAGAATATTTTAAATACATATTTTTTCTTTCGAAACAATTTTCTGTTTAAATGGAAAAAAATTGTCCAATTTTTTTGCTACCTAAAGAAGAATTCTGTAAATTGAACACTGTGTGCTCTAATAATTATTTGAGATTCAAGCCATCTCAAACTTCAAATTCTACCATTTTAATAAGTTGAATTGATCTAAACGAGTAGAATTTCTATTTCGATAAATATTCAATACTATGGCTAAACCAATCGCAGCTTCTGCTGCAGCTATTGCTATAATAAAAATAGCAAATGTTTGTCCTCTAAGTTCTTCAGTATCTAAATAGGCTGAAAATGAGACTAAATTAACATTTACTCCATTAAGCATTAATTCTAAACACATTAAAGCTTTAATAATGTTACGACTAGTCATCAAACCATAGAGTCCAATACAAAATAAATATGCACCCAAAATTAAGGCATGTTCTAACATAAATGTTTACTCCTTGAAAAATAACCGATTATTTATTAGTAATTAATCTATTGAACGATTACTAATATCAATTTCTGTCGTATTTTTTTCAACAAAAATGAATCCATCTTTGCGAGCAATAGTTATAGCTCCAGCTAAAGCTAGTAATAACACAACAGATAACAATTCAAAAGGTAGAAGGAGATCTGTTAATATATGTGCCCCTATAATATCAATGCTATTGGCGCCCACTGTATTGAATTCTTCTTGGGTTACTTTAGATAACACATTTGTGTTTATCCAGGTAGTATTTAGAATCATATTAGTTAAACAAGCGAATAAACCTAAGAATAAAAAACCCGAGATCCAATCTCCAGTTTTCCATTCTTTCATAGTTTCAGTCTCTGGTTTATTCACAAGCATAACAGCAAAAACAATCAATACATTTACAGCACCTACATAAATTAATACTTGAGCTGCTGCTAAGAAATCAGCATTTAAAATAAGATACCATAAAGCTACACATACAAAAACAAAACCTAATAACAAAGCAGAATATATAATTTTTCTTAAAAAAACAATTCCTAAAGCACCTAATATAATCCCTATATCAAGTAAGGCAATAAGAGGAAGATTAGTTGTTTCTGTTATATCAACCATACTCATTAGAGTAACTCCTATACATAATTTATGAAAATACTAAGTATGCGATTACATAACATATTTTTCAATGATCTACAAAAAAATCATTATATGAAACTATGCGCATAGTTCAAAAATTTTTTTTAAGACTAATTATTCTTGAGGATAATCCGTCACATTTCTTAAAGAATCATTAGGATTATTAACCAAGCCCTTAGGAAGATAATTTAAACCTACAACAGGTTGTATACTTAAATCTTGAGTTACAGGATATGGTAAACGCCCCAATGCAACTTGATCATAATTTAATTCATGCCGATCATATGCAGATAATTCATATTCTTCTGTCATAGATAAACAGTTTGTTGGACAAAATTCGACACAATTACCACAAAATATACAAACTCCAAAATCAATACTATAACTTTTTAATTGTTTTTTTTTCATTGATTTTTGGAATTCCCAATCAACTACAGGTAAATTAATTGGACATACACGTACACAAACTTCACAAGCAATGCATTTATCAAATTCAAAATGAATTCGTCCTCTGAAACGTTCGGAAGGAATTAGTTTTTCATATGGATATTGAATGGTAATAGGACTACGGTTCATATGATCCAGAGTTACTAAAAATCCTTGACCGATATAACGAGCAGCTCTTAATGCTTCTTGCGTATAATTTTGAAAACCACTGATAAAAGATGACATACTTTATATTATAAATATAATTATACTCCTTTTAATTGTTCTTTATTAAAAATTTTGTATACAAAATTTTTAATAAAGAACAATTAAATTATATCAGAGTAATCTGAAATGAAGCTGTAAGTAATAAATTTCCTAAGGCTACAGGAAGAAGAAATTTCCAACCCAAATCTAATAATTGATCCATACGTACTCTAGGTAAAGTCCAACGAGTAAGAATGGTAATAAATACGAAGATATATGCCTTTGTAATTGTAATAGCTAATCCAAAAAAAACATTCAAAAAGCTTATTAATGTTTCATTAGATAAGAATGTAAAATATTCGCTGACAATAGGAATTGAAAAATCCCATCCGCCTAAATAAAGAACTGAAACAAATAAAGCTGATACTAATAAATTAATATAAGAACCAACATAGAACAGACCAAATTTAATACCACAATATTCTGTTTGATACCCCGCTACTAATTCTTCTTCAGCTTCAGGTAAATCGAAAGGCAAGCGCTCACATTCAGCTAAAGCAGCTATTAAAAAAACGAAAAATCCGATCGGTTGACGCCAGATATTCCATCCTAAAATTCCAAATTTTGATTGTTCTTCCACAATATCAATAGTACTTAAACTATGAGATAATTATAGTCGATAAGAAGAGAATTCTTCTTATCTCTAATACAAAACTGTACATGAAGCAAAAACTTCATACAGCTCCTCGATAACTAAATAAAGTTATTGAAAAATTTTTTGAAATACTGACAAATTTCTTATTATTAAAAATTTAATAATGAAAAATCACAAACAATGGTCATTATAGTTATCGTGATTCTATTGGTTGAAAAGAACTGTATTTTGAACTTCAGAATCTATCTTAATCTTTCCAAATAAACAATTATGCGAAATAATAAATCATTGATCACAAATAATTATATAACAAATAAGAAAGATTTTTTTCGTTCCAAACAATCATGATTGAGTAATTAGGTAAATACTTAAAGTCGATTTTTTAGAGAAACACAGGCTATAGAACTCTACCATGCAAGCTCTCTATTATTACATAACAATATATATTTAGATATTTATCTAATTTCTATCTATATTTAACGACTTGTTGCATAGAGCATATAACCTATCTCAATAACACTTACTCTTATTGTATAGTTTCTTACTTTGATGAAACTTTTTCACATTTGCTTTTAGGATTAAATAAATGACTATCTTCCTTAAGTTTTATTTTGTGAACAATAATCACTCTTGTGTTTAGAGGATGGGATTCGAATAATATACTACCTATAAAAACTATAGTTATATCTCACCCATATGATTGTTTAGTCATGAGTATAATAGCTACAAATAGGCTTGGAATACTCATAAATTCTTAAAAAATATTAAGAATTAAATACGAACCACACGCAGAGCAATAGATAAAACACATAAAGCTAAAGGTATCTCATAACTAATAGATTGAGCAGCTGCTCTTAATCCACCTAAAAAAGAATATTTATTATTAGATCCATAACCTGCAATTAATAATCCTAAAGGTGCTACACTAGAAACAACAATCCAAAAAAGATTCCTAGGCCTATATCAGCTACTATTAAATTAGGTCCGAATGGAACAACTAAATAACTTAAAACTACAGGAATTAGCACAATAGCAGGACCAAGTGTAAAAAGTAGTGGATCAGCTTTAGCAGGAATAATATCTTCTTTAAATACTAATTTTAAACCATCAGCTAATGCTTGTATTACACCCAGTGGACCTGCATATTCAGGACCAATACGTTGTTGTGCAGCTGCAGATATTTTTCTTTCTAACCATACAATAACCAATACACCTAAAGTTGCACCAATAATGACCGACAGGATAGGAATACAAATCCATAGAAATTCAGAAAATTCTTTAGGTATACCAATTTGACACAATAGATCAATAACTCTCTCATCCAGGGCTCTAGTAGATGCCATTTAACGATCAACCTCCCCCATAATAATATCAATACTACCAAGTATAGTCATAATATCCGCAAGTTTCATTCCTTTTACTAATTGAGGAAGAATTTGTAAATTAATAAATCCTGGTGGTCTAATTTTCCATCGCCATGGGAATAAGCTGTCATCTCCAATTAAATAAACACCAAGTTCACCTTTAGGAGCTTCAACTCTGACATAATGCTCTTGTTTAGGTAATTTAAAAGTTGGAGATGGTTTTTTACTAATAAATTGATATTCAAAATCATTCCACGGAGAACTTTCTTTACTTAATAAACCTATTCTACGAGCTTCCAAATTTTCATAAGGTCCTCCAGGAATAGTTTTTAGTGCTTGTTGAATAATTTTAGTGGATTCTCTCATTTCACCAATACGTACTAAATAGCGTGCTAAGCAATCTCCTTCAGTTTGCCATTCAACCTGCCAATCAAATTCATCATAACACTCATAGTGATCTACTTTTCGAAGATCCCATTGAACTCCTGAAGCACGTAACATAGCACCAGACAGTCCCCAATTAATAGCTTCTTCTCTACCAATAATCCCTACACCTTGAACTCTTTTAAGAAAAATAGGATTTCTAGTAATTAATCTTTCATATTCATTGATCTTAGGTAAGAAATAATCACAGAAATCTAAACATTTATCTACCCATCCATAAGGTAAATCGACTGCGACTCCACCGATACG